ACCTGGGGTATGAAGAAACACAGAACTGTGCCAACAAGCAGTTTTGCTTGAATAATTATGAAGCACCGAAATGTCCGAGTTTGAATTGTGTGTCTACTGGAATACTATGCAGCTGTAACAAAGAATGAAATCATCGTTCAGTGCAATAAGAATGGAACCAGAGGGCATTGTGTGAAATGGAAGTCAGGGGAAGAAAGACAAGTGCTGGATGAACTCACTCCTCTGTTATATAGATAAACTAACAAAGGAGTATTGAACGATGACAAATCCACAAAACACAGGTTACAAAGCAGTGAGGGGAGGAGCAGGGGGGATGAAAAGTGGACCAGAGGTGACATAGGGGCAGTAGTAGAGGGTCCTGGGCACTTTGGGGTGGGGACATGCAGAAGCTACATAAAAATCATAACTGCAAACACTATTGTAATCAATTTTATCTAAACTACAATAAAAAAATATATATATAACCATTAGGAGAGAAAAATCCACATTTCTGGTCCAAAGTTTTTATTTAAAATAATGAAGGTCAGTCTTGCCCAATGACCCATTATTTCATTGACCTGCAATTGTTTTCAAAGCAAGAAGTGAAATTTCAGTGTCACCTTGTCAAAGAGAGATCTGAAAGAGCTGGATCTAGTATTCTTTTCTTTCTTTCTTTTTTTCTTTTTTTTTAACTGCTCTGTCTTAAACTGTGAACTGTATGTTCTGAAAAATAAATCAAATCCATTTCTAATTTCTCTGTGGGTCTCCACCTCTGCCCTCTGTCACCTCCAGTTAATGCAAGTGTGCAGACCACAGCTTCGAGAGCACTCACAGCCCAGAGGCTAAAAAATGGAGTCTTGTTCTGTTAACCTCTGAGAGTGTCTCATGTTTTCTTTCCACTGATGACTTTAGAGAAATCACTGTAGTGCTCAAGAAAAGGACAGGAGTAAAGGGTAGGGGGCGCACAGGAAGGGGCTCAGCAGACATGTAGGATGCCCTGATTTGGCTCCTGGCATCACATGGTGATTTCCCCTCCCCCACCAGTACCACCAAGAGCAGCTCCTGAGTATAAAGTGAGGAGTAGCCTACAAGCACCTCTGAATGTCACCCAAAAATTAATAAGTAAATGGGGAGTTTTTCTTACAGGAAGTCTCGTGGCTGAGCCCTGAGTGATAGTACAATGGATTGAGCGCTTTGCCTTGTGCAAGGCCAACCACAGTTTTACTACACGAGGTGGTGAATTTAGCACATACTTGAAAGCATTAAGATCTACCCCACACACGCCAACACACTTTATTTACACACCATGGTTTGCAAAGTTGTTTATGATGTTTTGTTACAGGCGTGTAATACCAATCCCACCACCAACACACTTTATTTACACACCATGGTTTACAAAGTTGTTTATGATGTTTTGTTACAGGCGTGTAATATTCCAACACCAATCCTACCACCACTGTCACCTTCCCTCCACCGTTGTCTCCATTTACCCAACCACCCCTCCAGCCTGCCTCCATTGCAATAATTTATTTTATATTGCTTGTTACCAATAAATGGCTAACCAAATGATTAAAAATTATTTCCTTAGAAGAAAATTAGTGAAAATTGTTGTATCATGGGTATATTAAGTCCTTGTTCGAGGAATTACTAAGGTGTTATTGCAGGTTAAGGCATGCCGATCCCGGGGCTGAGATCTCCAAGCCTGCTTGGATTGGGGCTGAGCATCCTCCACCCAGATCCTCCAAATTCCAGTAGGCAGGGGTCACATCCACCAACTGGCCCCCTGGAGCCGTGTAATCCCATCAACGGCCAAGATTCAGAGACTAAAACCCAGCTCCCGGAAGTGACATCTTATTATCTCATTCTTACTTTGGACAAAATGACAGGCTACCGAATGTAGTCTGCCCACACGGCAGAGTCTGGCAAACTCCCCGTGGCGTACCCAATATGCCAAATACCAGTAACAATGATGGGTCTCATTCTCCTAACCCTGAAAGAGCCTTGAATGTGGCACTTTTTAAAAAAAATCTCAGGGCTAGGACGAAGGAGACATTACTGGGGCCTGCTCGAGGCAATCGACGAACAACAGGATGGTCGTGATTGTGATCATGATCGTTTGAGGAATTACTAAGGTGTTATTGCAGGTTAAGCCATCTCTGTTAATGGCTTTGTTCACTGAGGTTGATTGGTGTCTACATGACATCCCATCCATTCTGGTGTGCTAGTACTAGATTGTCGTGCGTTCCAGAAAATCCAGAATTTTCAACTGGGCAGTACAGCTGGAGCTAAATTTTTAACTGGTCTGTGTCTGAGACATTTTTTCAGCTAGTTGATCTCTTTCGAGATTTATTTATGAGTCTCTGGAGAAAAGCCGGTAGATGAACTTGCATGATGGCCCAGGTAGTTCATGGGCATGGTTCCAAAAGTACAGGGAAGTGGGGGGAAGGTAACCCATCCCGACTCCAAGAAGGCCTGGAATTTTCAACCACGGGAACTGAGTTCTTTGAAGTTTACTTCTCCGTGAGGTTCAGACCTGAAGTGATGGAGTCAGGCATGAGGCATGGTGGCAGCTTTGGGATATGATGATGAGTGACTGCTAAAAAGATCATTTTTCTTTGGGGTCTGGAGAGATGGGACAGCAGTTAGAAGCTTGCTTTGCATGTGGCAACCTAGGTAAGACCCCCAGCACCTGATGTGATCCCCTAAGCCTCCACCAGGAGCAATCCCTGAATGTAGAACCAGAAGTAAGCCCTAAGCACCACCAGGTGTGACCCCCTAAAATTTCTATTTTTAAATTTTTTAATATAGTAATTGGTTTTAGGGCCACATCCAGCAATACTCAGGCCTTAATCCTGACTCTGTACTCAAGCACAACTCCTGGCAAGGCTCGGAGGAACCTGTGGGATGTCAAGGATTGAACCCTACTTGGAGGATGCAAGGCAAACACCCTGCCTGCTATCCTATCATTCCAGCCCTCTCTGCAGACCTATTATTTTCTGGTTTTTTCCCTTCTCTATTCCAAAATCTGTGCTGGGGATTGGTCATTTTTAAGGAAGCCAGTTTGAATTAATTCCCCTCAGCCCCCCTTTTTTTTTTGTTGCTTTTTCTATAAGGATTGCTTCATTTCTTCATTGACATCTAGTCCATTTAATTCTGATTCTAGGGCTCCATCCTGCTGGATCAAGGCAGAATTCAGGCTCTCTTTTTTGGGTGCCCCGTGAATTCTTGGGGTTACATCTTCCCAAAGTCCCTAGACATGGTGCTTGTCACCAGCTCACACTGGTGATCATCAAACCCATGTTAAGCTGACAAGGTGGGGGCTGGAGCAATAGCATAGCGGGTAGGGCATTGGCCTTGCACGCGGCTGACCCGAGTTTGATTCCCAGCATCCCATATGGTCCCCTGAGTACTTCCAGGAGTAATTCCTGAGTGCAAAGCCAGGAATAACCCCCGTGCATTTCCAGGTGTGACCCAAAAAGGGAAAGAAAAAAAAAAAGCTGTTACGGTTCCTCCAAATCCAGGAGTATTGCTGCTTCCAAGTTCTGGGCTGGTAACCCGGGACATTTCTCCAGCAAGACTCACATAGTGTGGGCCACGCCAGGCTTCCAGCCTTACCCACAGCATCCGGCCTCTCCCATGTGGAACCTCAAGTCCCTACTTCTCAGGAATGCATAGATCTGTGTCTTGTCTCTTTTCTTCTCCCCGGATACTGAGCCTGTTCTACTCCATTTTTTGGAGCCCTTCTGCTTTATAAAAACAGTGAGGCAGAGATTTGGGATTGCTTTCATTGTCAGCTTTCCCAAATGTCCAAGTTAGGGCAGTTCCGCGCATGAATGCTGGGTGAGCAGGGGGAGAAGGGAGCTATAGAGGCTGGGCAAGCTCAAATGAATAGTTAAATTCTCTTTCGTTATTTGGAGTGTTGGCTTACCCCAGCAGCGCTCAGGGGCTCTTTCTGGCTCTTTGCTCAGGAGTGACCCCTGGTGGTGATGGAGAGATCAACCTAGGATCAGCCACTTTCAAGGAAAGTGCCTTCCTTACCTCCTGCACTATCTCTCTGGCAGTAAATTTAACATTGTCTTAGGCAGAGCGTCTGTGTGTCTGGGGACAGAGCAGGTAGTTGTGACATGGGAGATAGTTTCTTTCTGTGCTTTATCATATCTTAGGGTATTATTGCTCTGCCCTTCATTTGATATGTGTTATTTCTAGGTGATTAAAAAAAAAAGTCAAATCTTTCATTCAAAAAGATGCAAATTATATTTTTGATTCACTAATCACAAAACTCTTACTCAACCAAAACATGCTCTGCCTTAATATTTTTCTGATTTTACAGCTAAGAATGCTGCGTTCAGGGCACTTAATTCAGCCAGAATTGTCTATAGGCAGAGTCAGGATTCGAACCCACAGCTCTTATTACCTTGAGTCCTTAAATGTTCTTTCTCCAACCTCCTCCTCTGTCCTCCAGAGCCATTTGCTGTCACTCAGTCCCAAGTAATGATGCTTGGCAAACTTCCTTCACCAGGTCACATATAAACACCCAACCCCTGCTTCCGGTGAATTCTGGGACCTGTGTCTCAAAACAGACCATTCACCATCAGAAAGGCACCACTGCATGCCCCTTCCCTTTCCCACTGCAGTATCCTGGAGATGTGTATAGACAGGACAAGTGTGTGGATCTCTGGGGCTGGAGTGATAGCACAGCGGGTAGGGCATTTGCCATGCATACGGCCAACCTGGGTTCAATTCCCAGCATTCCCCCGAGCACCGCCGGGAATAATCCCTGAGTGCAGAGCCAGAAGTAACACCTGTGCATCACCGAGCGTGACCGAAAAAGCAAAAACAAACAAAGTGTATGGATCTTTGAATCTATCATAACGGTATGGGACTTATCTGTGGATCAACTAAAATGCCAAGTTTTGACAAATAACAAAGTACAGACTGCTACCAAGGATTTGGTGGTTGACTAAAGGAGGAATTCATATTGGCTGAAAATTAATCAGAACTTGTTTCTTTTTTTCTTTTAGGATGCTATAGTTATACATGAAGTCTATGAAGAAGGAGCAGCTGCCAGAGATGGAAGACTTTGGGCTGGTGACCAGATATTAGAGGTATGTGGTTATGAATTACATTTCATGCCAGCCGCAGGGCTTCCTTTGCTGATCTTGATTCAGAAGCCCATGTACCTATTCACGGTCTGCTCTTCAAGTCTACCCTTATAGCTCTCCCATTAAACTCACCTGTGCTTGGTTCTGCTCTCTCTCTCTCTCTCTCTCTCTCTCTCTCTCTCTCTCTCTCTCTCTCTCTTTCTCTCTTTCGTACATCAATAACTCATTAGAATCAGAAAATTATCCATTTAAATATCAGAAAACTTTTTAATTTAAAAGGAAATAGGGGGCTGGAGCAGTAGCACAGTGGGTAGGGCATTTGCCTTGGACGTGGTCGACCCGAGTTCGATTCCCAGCATCCCATATGGTTCCCTGAGCACCACCAGGGGTAATTCCTGAGTGCAGAGCCAGGAGTAACCCCTGTGCATCACTGGGTGTGATCCAAAAAAAGCAAAAAAGAAAAAAAGAAAGAAAACAAAAGGAAATAATGGTTTTCCATAATGGTTGACGTGACATGACGCCCTATACTCCTGCCACGAGAGTCCTTCCTCTCCACTATGCCTCACGAAATATCCCCTAGGAATACATCCAGACACGTAGCATAACTGCTCACGCCAGGGATTTTAAGGACCTTACTGCAGCTGTGATTTTTTTTTTAATTTCTCCTAAATCTGTCAGATTGAGGTGCTGCCTTCACCTTCATTTTCTGGTGGATAAGTATATTGACTCTTCTCCCTTTCCATGGTGGATGGTATTTATTAAGGATTAAAATGCTTCACTTGCCTCTTTCCAGTGGAACCTCATACTGCAAAGGCATTAAGAGTGTTCTAGAAAGTGCCGAGGCAGCAGAATTTGAACCCGGGAACATATCAGGGGAACTGCCATGCCAGGCGTTCTGGTAGGTGGAACTAAAGAGCTTTCTCGCTGGCGTGGAACCTTTACAAAGCACTTCTCCCTCTCACCGGCGAGTTTAATGGAACAGTTCACGTTTTATGGTGGGCCTGCGCGCGTCTCGCTTTGCAGCCTGAACAGAGCGCCTCGGGAATGACATCACAGGCTTTCATTCCCCCCTCCCTGGTTCATTTCTGCCTCCCAAGATGAAACCAGCGGCAGCCTGAAGGGCCGAAAACGAAGGCAGGAAGGAGTTAAAGGAGACGCCAAGCTGACTGCAAATTAAATTCCGGGCAAGTTATAGGGTTTCTCTGCAGGCCTTTGCTGGGCTTCCTTGCTGGGTTAGGGCATATTCCCAGAACATTCATTAAGCTACAAATGTACGAGGTTAGAAAAATAAACGCAGCCTTGTTGGGAATTGGTTCGACTTCCTTAGCAGGCAACACCATTTTTTAGTTAGAAAGGTTCTCTTGCTTTCTTTTTCTTTTCTTTATTTTTTTTCTTTTTTATCTATTTTTTTTTTTTTTTTGGTTAGGATGAAATGAAGTATTCACCTACATTTTCCAATTAACTGGTATATAATCGGCTTTACAGGACAGGTAAATTGAATATTCAGGGTACAGATGGGCCAGCAAGATAGTATAGCAGGTCAGACACTTACCTTGCATGTGGCTGACCCAGGTTCAATCCCTGGCTTCACATATGGTCCCCAAAGTACTGCCAGAAGGAATTTCTGAGCACAGAGGCAGGAGTTACCTCTGAGTACAACCTGGTGTGTCACCCAAAAAATAACAACATAAATTCCAGAGGCATCCATGCACTGATCTGTACATGACTCAGGAGACCACAAGTTACTCTAGAATTCTCACTTAAAACTCAAGCTCATATGTCCGTGAAATTGATTGTGACAATGGTTGCACAGATATAAAACTACAAATATTCACAGACTAAGTTATATACTTCAGATGTGGTTTAGAAGCAGTCATAACTCAATTAAAAATACTGTCACTGTCTATATTTGTGCTGGCTGGACTCTCAGCTCTGACTATTCTCTTCCGTGAAGTGTATTCCTGCACAAGTAGCCACACAGGAACTGGTTAACTTGAAGAATACGAATTTGTTTTCGGTTGAAGGGAAACTTAAAGGATCAGGCAGAGGGATATTTCTTAGCAGTAAAATATGTCTCCTGTGCATGAGATGCTGGGATCAGTCCACCCCCCAAAATAAATCCCTGCATGCAATCATACATACATACATGCATGCATGCATCATACGAACATTAAAAGGGTGGGACTGGAGTGAGAGTACAGCGGGTTGAGTGTTTACCTTGCATGCAGCCAACGTGGGTTCGATCCCCAGCATCCCATATGGTCCCCTGAGCAGTACCAGAAGTAATTCCTGAGTGCAAAGCCAGGAATAACCTTTATGCATCGCCAGGCATGACCCAAAAAGCCATAAATAAATAAATAAAAATAAAGGGTTAAGTAGGTCATTTCTCTGCATCTGGCCAAATTATCTCCCCTGATGTGGTGAATGGCCCACACTACCAGCACAGGCGCTTCTCTTGCCCCAATGGGACCTAATCTATGGAACATATCATGTGGTTGACTGAGAAGGCCAGATCCCAGGGGTTAAGTTACTTGCCTTGCACATGGTCAACCCCAGTTTGAATCTTGGCACTGCATGTGGTCCCCCAAGTACTGTCAGGAATGATCCCTGAATAAAGAACCAGGAGTCGTGCCTGAGCATCACTGGGTATCGTCTGAGCCCTCCTCCCCTAAAAGTTAGATTTCAGTTGGGTAAAGTCACATGTTTCCTCTCTGAGCAGCTGTCTCCCCCATCTACATTAGGACTTGTAATCACAACCTTGGGCCTGCAGGTTGCCTCATGATGACAGCGGCACATTGGGTAGTACAGGTTGAGACCATAAAGTGAGGATTGAGCCAGGGTTGGCCAGATGCAAGTCAAGTACCTTAACCCCTGACTCTCTCTCTAACCACCCTATAACCTTCCCAAGTAGTAGAGAGCACGGTACCCCACTCTCCTCCTCTACAATCAGTGCTGTAAATGAGTGCTACTCGACATTTTCCCCATCAGTACATGTACATCAGTCTTTTCCCAACCAATGCCTTTTGTCCCTCTTGCAATGTGTCAGAGAGGCTTCCCTGTTGGATTTTGTTCTTGTTGTTTTGGGGGTTGGGGGACTGGGTGGCAGGGATTTGGACCACACCTGGCTCTGTGCTCAGAGTCACTTGGAGCAGTACTTGGGGAACCATGAGTTGCCAGACTGGGATCATCTGTGTGCAAGGCCAAAATCTGAACCCCTGCATTACCTCTCCGGCCCATTCCCTGATTTTAATATTGTCCTCGTAGGATTATTAGGACAATCAAGTTTTGCTTACAAAGAGATGGTCAGATAGCTTTTTAGCATGGCAAGATTTCTGATTCTGTGATGAGTCCAGACTGTCTTCATGCTGCTTCTCCTTCCGGGGCCAGTCCCTCCTCTTCCTCTCCTCTTAGGACTGTGATCCCTTTCTAGACTTGGAGAATAAAATAATGACGCCCTGTCCCTATTTGCTTGTTTCCCCTGTGCTCATCTACCCAAGGGGCATAATCCATCCTACTGACAAGTGATGCTTCCTATCGCCTCCTTTTGTTTTGTTTTGGTTCTGTGTGGGGACCATACCCAGCAGCAATCACTCTGTACTCAGGAAATGCTCAGAACCACATGTGTTGATAGGGATTGAGTCATGGTTGGCCGGATGCAAGTTGAGTACCTTAACCCCTGACTCTCTCTAACCACCCTATAACCTTCCCAAGTAGTAGAGAGCACTGTACCCCCACTCTCCTCCTCTACAATCAGTGCTGTAAATGAGTGCTACTCGACATTTTTCCCATCATGACCCCTTCTGGCCATGTTTCCTGCCTGTGACCTCCAAGTTCTGCCGCTTGACCCTCTGGCCCTGTGCCTAAACCCCATTTATGTGATTCTTACCTGTGGCCCCCTTGGATATCCTGGGAGGTCCCAGGGAAGGTACAGCTTCTCGTTGAGAAGAGCTCTAAATGATGTACGCAAAGCTTCTGTCAGGCACTTATGAAGATGCATGCTCCAGTTTTCTGTTTCTCACAAGTGTTAGTGTATTCAGTGGGATCTTTTCTTAAGCAAAGAAAGAAATGTAGTCATGAACTTGAACATTGCTTTGATTTTGGTAGATATCTTGATGCTGGAATTGAGTGTCAGCTATTTATGTTAATATTATAATTTGATGGCCATGATTTTTCTTGAGTACAATTGGTAGTGCCTTTCCAAAGAAGTTTGGAAGCTTAGAGAATCTACCTTCTTCCCTTGGTGGTAACTTTTACAGTTGAATAGCAAAAGTGGTCTTGTGTGCCATCTATTGGAATACAGGAAAATACTCAGCTAAGATGCATTTTCTGGGGACAGTGTTTTCCCCGTTGTTCTGTGCGTTTGCCCTCCACATACTCTAAGAACACATTCAGTGTCTAGAATCCCTGAGACTGCCGGCTCTGAGACCAACCCGCCTGCCCACAGCTTCCGTTTGATCCCTGTGAAATGCCCACTGCTGACTTCTCCTGAGTCAAGCTAGGGTCTAGTCCTAGACCAAATGCACTACCGGGCATTTCATTTCATTCTTCCAGCACTGGGTTTCCAACATTACACTTAGCTATTGATGTGCAATTCACACACGATAAGTCACCACAACTTAGCCTGAGTGATACACATATGCTTTCTCTGAGCCAGCAAACTGGGATCAGCACTCCAGCTCAACTCCTTTGAGCTCCAAAACCGAGATTCAATTGTGGGGCAGGGGTTGGGAACTGAGGAAAGTAACATGTCACCTGGTGTAACTCAGAAGCTACTCCTGGCTCTGTGCTCAAGGGTTGCTTTCACGATGCCCAGTGATAAAGACAGAACACAGCTTCACACATTCAGCACAATGTGCTCAGCCCACTGAGCTATCTCTCCTCGCCCCACAAAACCCATTTTCTTCACCATTGTTATGCTGAGTATAGTTCATCTAGATGAGTACACAAGCTCCCCAAGATAAACTAGAAAAAAAAGAAAGCAATTTGAGAGACTGTAGAGATAACTCAGTAGGCTAAGTGGGAGTCCAGAGCTCAATTCCAAGCTCTGCATGGTTCCCCAGGGACCACCAGGAACAACCCCCAAGTCCAGAGCTAGGTGTAACTCATGAACACCACCAGGTATGACCTCTTATCATTTTTCCCTCTTTGTTTAAACACTATGGTTTACAAAATTATTCATGATGATTTGTTACAGGCATTTGGTATTCCAACCCCATCCCACCACCACTGTCAACTTCCCTCTATCATTGTCCCCATTTTTCCAACTATCTTTCAAGCCTGCCCCAAAAGCAAGCCCCAAATAATTTATTTTATATTGCTTAATTGCCACTCAGTGAATTATCACAAAAGGTAAAAGAAAATTTATGAAAATCGTTACATCTCACCCTGGGGACATTCCTTGTCTGAGGGTTTACTAAGCTTCTGATGCTAGTTGAGCCTTCTGTGTTAATGTTTTTGTTGATTGAGCTTAGTTGGCGTCTGCATTACAGTGCTCCTACTGGGACATTAGTGTTGTAGAATTTGGAGATTTCTGGAGATTCTAGAAAATTCAGAATATTTATTAGGGCATGACCCCACATGATGACAATGGTGGAATGTGGGTGTGACTTCGAAGCTTCCTGAAGTACGTGGGGGAAGGGAAGGTCATCTGCCCGGACTTTGAGGTGGCTCGGAATTCTCCGCCAAAACACAAAACAGTGTACCTGAAATTTTCAGCAGCTTGGGTTCACTGCAGAGCTCAGTTGTGAGGTGGTGGAGTCCGCCCAGCCATGGCAGCAGCTGTTGGTGTGTGAGTGTGGCTTCCACAGGGTGGGGACTTGGCCTGCCCCCTCCTGAGGTCACCTCGGGGTTCTCTGCCAGGGACCAGTGTATCCAAGACACTTGTATGGCTAGTTGATCTCTTCCTAGATTTAATCTTGACTCTCCGAAGCTCAGTCCACAAATGAGCTTACATGGCAGTGGTGGCAGAATGGCCCTTTATCAGGTTCAAAGTTCAACAGTTTGGGGGTAGAGAGATTGCAGAGTGGGCAGGGTGCTTGCCTTGCATGCCAGCTGCATCCCATAATGTCCCAGAGTCCTTCTAGGAGTGATCGCTGTGCGCAGGTCCTGAGCACTGCCCATCATGACTCCCAAAAAAGAAAGAAACACATACAGTGTCTGGTACAGTCAGTGATCAATAGGTTTGTTTCAAGTTCCACACAGACAGTGACCGTCTGTTTCTGCAGCCCAGTTCCTGTCCACATTAACCCATCAGATGGGTTCACGTGTTCTGTTCTCCACAACATGATATGTGCCCTATTCGCTTTTGCTCGGCTCCTAGACAGGGTCACTCAGGGGTCCTGTTTCTCATTTCTGCTTCGCGAGACACATGCAGAGATGTTTGTTTGGGGGTGCCCCTGGCTGCAGGTGAACGGGACCGACCTGCGGAGCGCCAGCCACGAGGAGGCCATCACCGCGCTGAGGCAGACCCCACAGAAGGTGCGGCTGGTGGTGTTCCGGGCCGAGGCTCACTACCGGGACGAGGAGAACCTGGAGGTCTTCCCCGTGGATCTGCACAAGAAGACGGGCCGCGGGCTGGGCCTGAGCATCGTGGGGAAACGGTAAACCCAACGCCGTGCGGATGGTGGTGGCCCTTGCCCTGGGAATCAAGGGACTGATGCTCAAAGACAACAAGTCCTCAGAAAGAAAGCTGGAGAAGTCGTATAGTGGGGAGGGCTCTTGCCTTGCACACAAACAACCCAGGCTCCAACCCAGGCTCCGTCCCCGGCACCCTGAGCCCACAAGAAGGGCTCCCTAAGCACAGAGCCAGGAGTAGTCCCTGAGCACTGCTGGGTGTGGTCCAAAACACAAACCCAAACAATTGTGTGTGTGTGTGTGTGTGTGTGTGTGTGTCCCAATATTAACTAAGATAGGATTGCTAACAGGATATCTGACAGACTTGGGTCCTATTTCTGAGTAAAATCTTACCCCACCCCTGTCCCCCGAAAGTGTCTTGTGACACACCCAAGAACTCTAAGGTAACTCTCAAACATTTGTTTTGTCACCCGTAAGCACAGTCAGCCAGCAATGAGCAACTTGGATTTCGTGGCCATCAGGCTGACAGGGGGTAACTGAACCAAGTAGCTGTGAGGGCAGAGGAGAGAGCTCAAAGGGAGGGACCCCAGGCTTGATCTTGGTGCATGGTTGAGCACTGCCAGGAGTAGTCCCCCAGTACCACCTGGTGTGGGTCCCTTCCTCCCCCACTACACACACACAAAATAACTAGCCAATATCAAGGGATATAAAAGGAGGGTTTGAGAGTGTTGGGGTAGGAACATTTTTCTAGGGGCTGGAGAGATAAGCACAGGGCTAAGGCACTTGTCTTGCATATCACTAGCCCCATAGATATCCTCTCCACGCTGGCTTACACCTGAAAACAGAATAAGGAGTAGCCCCTAAGCGCCATCAGGTGTGGTTCCCTCAAAAAAATTCCAAAAACAAAGTCAAAAAGAAAAGTTCTGGGGGCTGGAGAGATAGTTCCACTGGTTAGGCGCTGTTGGCCTTGCATACAACTGACCCAGGTTCAATCTCCAGCACCCCATACTAACACCTGAACCCCTGAGGGTGAACTCTGAGCACAGAGCCAGGAGTAAGCCCTGAGCACAACCAGGTGTGACCTAAAAAACAAAAAAGAAATTTCTCTGCATTGTACACCATGTTAGTTATCAAACTAGTTTCTAAAGCTAGTTGAGGATTTACTAAAACTAGCCTAATAGGGACCAAAGAGATAGTACAGTGGGGAAGGAGCTAACCTTGCAACATTATTGACCCTAATTTGATCCCTGACACTGAATATGGTCCCTCTAGTATTGCCAGAGTGATTTCTGAGAGCCAGGAGTAAGCCCTGAGCACCGGTGTGACCCCAAAACAAAAATAAGCAAAATTGGCTGAGTAAACTTGGTTGAGAGACAAATTCTTCTTCATGATAGTAGTTTATCGGTATATTATATGTATTTTGTCCTCAAAATAATAGCCTGTCCCTAAGCTGTTGGTAGACCCTGGCAACTAGACCACCCTTTGGAAGTCTCACCCCAGGACAGGATTGCAGTGATTGTTCCAGAATTCTAGTCAGCGTCTCTCTCAGCAAACCCAGCCTCTGTGATTGATAGCAGATGGGTGGTTTTCCATTGTCACCCACGGTTCAATCAGCAGATATGAAAAAGTTAAAAAGAAAATCACTGCTACAAAGGTCTAGTGTGTGTTTATTCCAGCAGGACTTCAGGATTTCCAGGGAGTGCTTCAATAGCTGTAAGTGGACTTGAATGTCTTCTTTGGAGGAACTCAGATGAGGTTTATGTGCATGGTGTCCTGAGCCCTCAGAGAGCTCCAGTGTCCCGCATCAGAGCCCCGTAGTTACTTACAGAAGTTATTACAACCAAAGATTAGCAACAGGTACTATGCTGATGTGCCTACCATCTTTTTTTTTTAACTTTAACTCTAAAAAACTATCCCTTTGAAAATGGCCAAATGGCTGAGATAAATATTTCTACGCAAAATCAGTGCATGGATGGGTGCAGGGTAAAGAGAATGTCCATGTGGGGCTGGAGCTATAGCACAGCAGGTGGGGTGTTTGCCTTGCACACAGAGACCCGGGTTCGATTCCCAAAATCCCATATAGTTCCCCGAGCACTGCCAGGAGTAACTCCCATCAATAACTTACTGCTAAGAGAAATTTAGAAATATCTGTAGAATGCTGGGAAGGAGACTCTGTCGCAAAGCACATGCAATGCAGGTATAAGGCCAAAAAAAATGTGACCCAAAAAGCAAAGAGAGAGAGAGAGAGAGAGAGAGAGAGCCCATGTTTAAATTTGCTTTCTTGTTGACACATTGCCCTGTGCCCTGGAAATCTTACTCAGAGTCATGTCTTGTAATTTATTGATTCTCAGTGGACTGATGAAACCCTCTTCCAACAGCACCAGAGTATAAGAGTCAGTTGTATGTCTGCATTCCTTAGCACAAAATCCTACTGTAAAGAATCGGATAGATGTGTAGCTCACAAAATTCATAATTTCATTTTGTTTTGTTTGGGAACCACACCCAGCAGTGCTCGAGACCTGACTGACTCCGTGCTAAGGGATCTATCCTAGAGGACTCGCGGGACTATATGGGGTGCTAGGGATTGAACCCAAGTTGATACATACGAGGCAAGCATCTTAACCGCTGTACTAGCAAGCATCTTAACCACTGTCGAGCATCAAGATCCAGAGTTTTTAACGTGGCAGTTCCCTGATTATAAATATATGCTAAAGATATTCCCAGAGGTATGCTATCAGAGGTAAAATCCTTGCAGATTGTTCATATTAGCTAATGAATAGAAGTAGCCTTACACCCATCAATAACTTACTGCTAAGAGAAATTTAGAAATATCTGTAGAATGCTGGGAAGGAGACTCTGTCGCAAAGCACATGCAATGCAGGTATAAGGCCAAAAAAAATGTATCTTAAGGATTTTAGGTAGAAATATATGTAGGATCATATGCAGTTATAAAAGAAAACGGTGATGAGGGACCAGAAGACAGTTCAGAGGGCTGATATGTAGAGCCGGAGTGATAGTACAGTGAGTAGGGCACTTGCATTGCATGCAGCCAACCCAGGTTGAGGCCCCAGCATCCCATCCAGTTCCCCAAGCACCGCCAGGAGTAATTCCTGAGTGGAGTAACCCCTGAGCACTGCTGGGTGTGTCCTTTCCCCCCATACAAAACAAAGACTAGTGTGCATGCTTTGCATATGGGGGTCCTAGATTTGTTCCCCAGTACCATGTGGCCCCCTGAGCACCCCTGGGTGTGATCAAAAGCAAAAACAAAATGGGAGGGCCAGCACTGTGACTCAGCGACAAAGCACATGACTTGTTTGCGTGAGACCTGAGTTCCATCACCAACTCTGCAGAAAACAAAAGCAAAGCAGTGAGAAAACTCCCAAGTATAAAAAAAGGCCAATTACCAAGGCGTATTAAGTTTAAACCAAAAAGAAAACCAAAATTAAAACAAAAAAAAATGTTGGGGACACATAGTTTAGTGGGTAGGACACTTGTCTTGCAGGCAGGCAGCCCAGTTTCAATCCCTAGCATCCCATATGGTCCTCCAAGCACTGCCAGGAGTAATTCCTGAGTGTATACACGAGAGTAACCCCTGAGCATTGCCAGGTGTGTGACCCAAAAAACAACAAGCAAGTTGGAGGAATGTCTTTGTGTGTGTGTGTGTGTGTGTGTGTGTGTGTGTGTGTAAACATATGTATGCATGTGTACCATACACACATGATTTCACATCCACATATACAGTGTCTCTTAGGAAAACCCCAAGGAAGAGCAATACCATTGCCTCTGAGAAGAGACCGAGGAACAGAGGCAAGAGGGCAACTTGCAAGGGCCCCACTCAGAAATTTTGAAACATACAATTATTAATTCATGAAATAAATTTGATTAAAACTGGGGCTGGAGAGATAACACAGCGGGTAGGGCGTTTGCCTTGCACGCGGCCGACCCGGGTTTGATTCCCAGCATCCCATATGGTCCCATGAGCACCTCCAGGAGTAATTCCTGAGTGCAGAGCCAGGAGTAACCCCTGTGCATTGCCAGGTGTGACCCCAAAAAAATTTTTTTTGATTAAAACTTTTAAGTGATCATGGCTGGGAAAGGAAGAGTGGGAAAGAGACTTTCCCAGCACCATCAGATGCTAATAAGGGAGCTTGTCTCTAAAATTAAGAATCAGTATGGTTAAAGAGCACTGAACTCCACTTTTTAACGTGAATTTTCATTTTATTTTTCTAAAAGGATCCTCATTAAGAAATTATGCTCTTGGGCCAGTGCAAATGAATATTGCAGTAGGCAGCAAAGATAGGCATGAGCTACTGAGGCTGATGAGGGTTTTATCCTTTATCCTTGGGTTTATCCTTTGAAAAGTCCATACATGGGAACTGGAGCAATAGCAGGCAACCAGCCCAGTTTCAATCCTCAGCATCCCATAGGGTCCCCCAAGCACCAAGCACTGCCAGGAGTAATTCCTGAGCACAGAGGCAGGAGTAACCCCTGAGCAGTAGGTAAGGTGCTTGCCGTGCACACATCAAACCAGGCATCCCATATGGTCCCCCAAGGGCACCAGGAGCACTCCCTGAGTACAAAGCCAGGAGGAAAGCCTGAGCATTGCCGCATATGCCCCCCACCCGCCCCCCCCCCCCCCACACACACACGAAAAAGAAAAAGTCCATGCCTGTGACTGGTGAGATGGCTTTGTTGGAAGCTTGGAACCTTCTGTCCAGTTTGGGTTTAGTGAATCTTTTTTTTTAATTCTTTTTGGATCATACCCAGTGATGCTCAGGGGTTACTCCTGGCTCTGCACTCAGGAATCACTCCTGGCAGTGCTTGGGGGACCATATGGGATGCTGGGAATCGAACCCAGGTCAGCCATGTGCAAGGCAAACACCCTACCCGCTCAGCTATTGCTCCAGCCCCGGGTTTAGTGAATCTTTAGGGTGTGGGTTGTGGTGATTTCGTCAGGAAATCTTGAGTTAGGCTGATCCCCGCTGCTTTGTGGCACTTACAGAAACGGAAACGGGGTGTTCATCTCCGACATCGTGAAGGGGGGAGCTGCAGACCTGGATGGAAGGCTCACCCAGGGCGATCAGATCCTGTCTGTGAACGGGGAGGACATGAGAAGCGCCTCCCAGGAGACCGTCGCCACTGTCCTCAAGGTGAGCCCCTCGCTGCTTTCTGCCTCCCTGGGGTTCCGGGGAGTAGTTCTGATATAGATTGATTAAAGAAAGGATTTGAGGGGACCCGAATGATAGTACAGCCAGTAGGGTGCTTGCCTTACGTAGGGCCAACCTGGGTTCAATTCCTAGCATCCCTTATGGTCCCCTGACCACCACCAGAAGTGATCCCTGAGCACAGAGGCAGGAATAAGCCCTGAATGGAGGAGGAGGAGGAAGAGGAGGAGGAGGAGAAAGAGGAGGGGGAGGAGGAAGAGTAGGAGGAAAGTGATTTGATGTTTTCAACTCTAGTTTTCACTGGAAAGCCCATTTCTGACTACTTTAAATGATAAGAATGACTTTAAAATAAAAGTCAGGGCCAGAGAAATGTCTCAAAGAGACAGAGATCATACTCTGCACACAGGAGGCCCTGGTTCCATCCCCTGCACAGCACTGCCCCAAGCAATGCCCAAGCACCCACCTGGGAGTAGCCTCTGAGCACTGCTAGGGATGACTCCCAAACAAAGCTGTTACACTGCAGGATTGGATAGGGAAGAACTCTGGAATCTCTAAGCTAGTTTTTTTTATACTTGTGAGATTTTTCACATATCTACAATTACTCTTTATAGATGTAACTCAAAAAAAAAAAGCAAAAATTCCCTTCTTTAAACTGTGCTGCATGGACCTCACTTTCAAGACACTGGTTGATAAATATTCTTGTGAATTTCCATTCCACTCTACACCAGTACATTTTACTGTTTCACTGCAGAATGGAAGCTTTTGCTAAGACAAGCGAGTGTTATTTTAAAATCCTTATTCCTGGTACTGGAGAGGTAGTACAACAGGTTGAGTGCTTGCCTTGCATGCAGCCAACAGGGGTTCTATCCCCAGTATCCCATACGGTTCCCTCCAGGAGCGATCCCTGAGTGGAGAGCCAGGATTAAGCCCTGAGCATAGCCAGGTGTGGCCCAGTTTGTTTGTTTGTTTTTAATAAAATCTAATGCTAATTCCTAATGTAGTCAACTGATCAGTTATTATTCAAGGGAATACATGGATTCTTTCTGTTTGATTTTTGTGTCCTCCTTGTTACCACTTTTTTCTTCCTTATTCTGCTCATGCGCATTCATGCAAAGGGGAAAGAGGTGGAAAGGAAGTGGACTGAAATATAGTCCTTGGGACTGGAGAGCTCGTAGAGCGGGAAAGGTTCTTGCCTTGCATGTGGTAAGCCCAGCTGCATACGGCCCCCGGAGCACTGCCAGGAGTGAGCCTAGAACACAGAGCAAGAGTGAACCCTGAGCCCATAAACAAAAAGAAAAAAAGTAATTCTTTCAACATCTTTTAGGATGTCATGTAGAATGGCCCCGCTTGATCCCCCTTGTTATTTTGTGTGGGTTTTTTTTGGACTGAGTATTCTCCGTGCTGAGTGAATATAGCCACCGTGCACATTTCTGTCTGCTCTGCCCGTTTAGAACCAGAGTGCTACTTTTCACTTCTCTTCTTTTCTTGTCTTCCAAGTGTGCACAGGGGCTTGTGCAGCTAGAGATCGGAAGACTCCGAGCTGGTTCCTGGACCTCCTCGAGAAAGACATCACAGATCAGTCAGGTTGTTGATACTTGCCCGTCAGATTGACCCACCTGTCCCCTTGGGAGAAACTTGCCGGTTTCATTTGTGATTAGAAATAATGTGTAATGCACAGCCTGCTCACCACGCCAAGCCCCGTGTATTTTAATGTGTTTGAAATAAAAACAAAAGGTGGGGTGGAAATTCATTAATCCTGAGATTTTTCTCTCCTTTATTGCCTGCACATGTTTTCTTAGACCCACTTTTCTTTCCCACTATTAGCTTAATATTGACTGTACACAGCTGTGTTTATTTAAAAAGAAAGAAGGAAAGAAACAACATCTGGTGGCAATTTGACCCTCATTAGCACAACATTGTTCTGTTCATTCAATTAAATATTGCTATAAAGTTAACTCCTGAATAGCCACGCATACATGCTGGGGCAATTAATGATATATTCCTAGGAGAGTGAAATATAGGGGCTTCTCTGGTGAGGGGGAGGGTTTAATGGATGATGTTTTGTGGGTTAGTAAACATATTTTTTTGCAAAGTTGATGTAAGTGCTACTTTTTAAAAAAATGTATATTTCACTTATTTTTTTTAATTGTAATAGTTGGTGAAATCAAGATGGTAGGCTATTATGTCTAGTCCCATTTTCTACTTAAGCAAAGTATAGAAACTTACTGTGACCCGTATGGCTGTGTTTTAAAAGTTGTAGGTGTACCTTTATTTTATTTTGAGGCTAAAAGTTTGACTCTCCCCGGTTGCCTTAAAGGCTCCCCAAGGCCTTTTTCAGAAGGTGCTCAATTAGTGTGGTTAGTCTGCAGGTGTTTCTAGAAAGCTCTGAGCTGTCTCTGCCTTGTTGATATCAGCAAAAAAGGTGAGGAAAGGTCCCATTGTTCAGAGAGGACCACAGGACAAGCTGTCTGCTCTTAGAGAATAATCAATCAACTCCAGGATGTATCACATCAAGGAAGTCTGAGATGGTTCCCCTCAGTACAGCTTCCTTTCTTTGTTTTGAATTGTTTTGTTTTTTCATGTTTTGGTTCTGGTGATCAAATCCGGGATCCTATCATGTGAAGTCTGTGCTTTGTCCCTGTACTCCGTCCTCATCTCCTGCCTTTCTGGATTATGTCATCGGCTACAGATATCAATGTGCTCAGACATGGGGAGGCAATGGGCAGTCAGGAGTGAATGGTTGATCGCGATTCTGGCCAGGCTGGTAGCAGTAATGGAAACGGGGAACTAACGGTCTGAAATGATTATCTTCACTACTGCTTGCATGGACATTCATTTGGGTTTTTTTGTTGTATTTTTTTAATTTAATTTTTATTAGTGAAACACCATGAGGTGCAGTTGTAGACTAACAAATTTTTGTGCTTGGGTTTCAATTATACAATGATCAATGTTGTATTTTTTTAAGTTTTAATTTTTATTATAGTTAAATAACCTGGAGCCAGAGTGATAATATAACAGGCAGGGCATTTGCCTTGTATGCGTCTGACCCGGGTTTGATCCTTGGCATCCCATATGGTCCCCCAGGCACTGCCAGAGGTGATTCTTGAATGCAGAGCCAGGAGTAACCCCTGAGCATTGCCGGATATGACCCAAAAAGCAAAAATTCAAAAAAATTTAATATATAGTTGAATAACTTGTTTGCAAAGGTGTTAATATTTATGGTTTCTGTCTTTTTTATTTTAAAAAATGCTTTAATTAAACACCATGGTTTACAAAGGTGTTCATAATATAGTTGTAAGGGCTTTCAGCGTTCCAACAGCAATTCCACCACCTGAGTGATCTTCCCTCCACCATTGTCCCCATTTTTCTAACTACCCCTGCCCCAGCAAGCCTGCCCCCTTAGCAGACACATGATAATTTGTTTTATATTGCTTGTTAGAACTAAATGGCTAAAGGAATTGTCAAAAATACTTCAGTAAAAGAAAATTTGTGAAAATTGCTATTTCACCACTGGATTGTGAAGCCCTTGACTGAGGATTTCCTGAGCTGTTTGTTGCTGGTTGAACCCTGTGTGTTATTGTTCTTGTTTGTTGACTTTAGTGGGCTTGATATTACACTCCCATCTAATTTGGTGTGCGCCTACTGGAGTTTCAGTATTGTGGAATCTAGAGTTGTCACGCCACCACGTTTGTGGCTGTGCAGTCCGGAAACTGCAGGACCTTTAGTACTGGGCTGATAAGTTAATATGGTGGTCACTGTGGGAGGTGGGCATGGCTGCCAGAGCTTCCTAGGCATGGGGGAGGGAGAGTGGGAGGCTGCTCGCCCCCACTCCAAGAAGACCCCAGAGCTTTCAGTCTGAGCACCAGTCTACAGAATTCTCACAGGCTAGTGTCTCTGCGAAGAGTATTCATGAAGCCGTGGAGTTGGGCCTCTGGCATGGTGGTAGTAGTAGGGTTTTGATACAGCTGCTGGTACTTTGGCAGGGTGGGGACTCAGCCCACCCCCCTCCCGAGGACACCCCAGAGTTTTCAGCTGAAAGACTGGGGTGTCCATGAATTTTAGTGGCTTGGCTGGCATCTCCTTAGAGATTTGGTCATGAGTCTGAAGGCCGGGTGGGGGGCGGGTGGGGGGGGACAAGTCGACTTGGCAGCAGCTTGGAAGGTGGGCCAACATTTACATTTTCTATACACAACGTGACTCCACCTTCCACCACCAAAGTGCCCAAGATCCTCCCTGTCCATATGTTATCCTATGGATATTTGTTTTTAACAGAGTTTGGGGGATTTTATTTGGGGAGTGTTATATTTTGGGGGGGGAGGAGGGATTGGGCCACACAGCTTGGTACGCTGTGAAGCCAGGGATCAAAGCAGGGTCAACTTCTTGCTAGATAAACTCCTTAACTCCTATATTACCTATCTGGCCCCCGTCATTCATTTCTTTAGTAAATTTCATTCAAGCCACATTGTACACAGGAAGTGAGATACAGGAGGAACAAGCCTGGCAGTGAAATTTTGCTTCCTGGAGCTATGGATATGCACAGCAAGGATTCACTAGGTCTCACAAAAGGCCTTCCGCTGGGAGCCTGTGAAAGGAGGGAAGGCATCCTGCATGGGAGGCTTGTGGGAAGGAACAGAGGGATAAAGGAATTCCAGCCTTGTAGGAAACCGGACTAACAGGTGAGGGAGGATCTCTCCTAACAGGTGTAGGATCTCCCCTTTCTGCAGAGTGCTGATGAGTATCTTCCTGATTAAGTTCACACTCAGGTTAAATACAGAACTCCCCAATTTCAATTCTATCATGAAAAGTCAAAAAAAAAACACCTAGAATATGAATGAGACAAAGTAGAAAACATTTCTGTCTGACCTTCTAGAACAGAAGTTTTATTTCAGAGGGTCAAAATTTAATTCATTTATAAGAAAAGATGTGCATTATCTTTTGTCCTTATGATGGTGGCTGAGGTGATACGGTTGGTCCTGATACTTGACTCATTGGATGGGAATGTGGGAAGGAAGTGTCCCCTCTCCTCCGTCACCCTCAAGCACTGAAAACTAACTCAGATAAAGATACAGTGTTGGGGAAATGCCCTTTTGTGCCCATGTGTCTGCTGAAGTAAATGGGACACGTGAGGAGCATGGTTTTCTTCCTGAGAAATTTTTAGTGAGGGTGATAGATGCTGTCTTTTGAGAGTCAAGGAGAAAATTACTTTTTCAATGAAGCCTGAAGAAAGAGTCCATTAAGAGGTCTTTGAAGGGCTGGGAAGATAATACAGTGGCTAGGGACCTGATTTGCATGAAAACCAATGTTGGGTTCAATCCCCAGTACCATATATGGTCCCCTGAGCCCAGCCAGGAGTGATCCCTGAGCATGGAGCCAGGAGTAAGCCTTGTGCACCACCAGATGTGGCCACATATTAATACAGCAATAAAAAAAGATCTAGCCTTGTGTCTACCTAGTCTCTTTTAAAATGGCTTTTCCCACCAACCAGGGAAATCATCTCTACCTACAAGTGATTGAAAAACAATACTTGGGAACTTTTCTTCAGCTACTTAAGGGCACACTGCCAAGAAAACCAGGTCTTGGCAGGGCCAGAGAAATAGTACAGAGGGTAAGACGCTTGCATGAAATGCTACCAACTCCAGACCAAAATCTGTGGCCCTCTATGGGCTGGACAGATAATGCAGTGGGTAGGGCGCTTGTCTTGTACACAAATGAACCAGGTTCCATCCTGGGCATCCTGTATGGCCCCTGAACATTTCTGGGAGTGAGCCCTGTGTGCAGAGCCAGGAGTTATTCTGTGCTCATTATCAGTTCTGAGTAATTGTTGATTTTAACACCATTGATTTGAAATTCTATCCTGAGGGTTCAGATGTGGCTCAGTGCTAGAGGGCTTGTGTAGCAAATAAGTAAATAAAAATATAAAAAAACTTTTTGTTTACACGGCAAATATTCAACAAAAGCATATCCTTTGGGGGAAAATCTGAAACACTCCTCTAAATATATTGATTATTTATGCTACCATTTACTTTGTTGGATTCTTTTTTTTTAATGCGCATTTACTAAAAATCAAATCAACTTTTATCAAGGTTAGTTTTTTTTTTTCTTATCCTGAGGATCCATCTAGATGCCTTTCAAATGGTTCACAGTAGAATAGCTCTAAAATTTGTTCTGGATATTTCTCCATGATAACAGAAGCTCTGCTTGTTTTGGGAAAAAAAAAAAAAGGTTTTCATGTGAAACTTGGTCCTGAAATTATAGAACCAAGATGTTTATTTTATGAAGGTCTCCTCCATACCAGTGTCTATCCTTACCATAGTTGCATGATGGTCTGGGTGGTGCCAGAATTGGATTTCGCACCCTGGAACATGCAAGGCTTTTGTTTAACTCCAAGCTTTGACTGTCTCCCAAAATCTCTTGTAAGCCAGTTAGGTAAGCTATCCTACTCAATATCACAGTTGATATTTACCATTTGCTCTGAAATGAGTAGTTGATTTTTTTTTTTATTTTCCGTTTGGGCTGTGGGATATTGCTGAGGATGGAACCCAGAGTCTCATGCATGTAAAGCATGGACTTTACCACTGAGCTACAATCCTCAGCCCTGAATTGCATTATAAAGAAAAGACAAATGAAGAGAGAAATTGATTTTTTAATTAAAAACTAAAAATATAGGAAAAGTTCAGAGATGTAGCATAGTGGTAAGGCACAGAGCTGACACATATGCGACCCATATGTGTCACATGTGACCCATGACTCACATATGTATAACACATACATCCAATCCCCAGCCCCCAAAACTGTCACTGTCACTGTCCTCCCATTGTTCATCGATTTGCTTGAGTGGGCCCAGTAACATTGTGAGGCTTGTTACTGTGTTTGGGATATTGAATATGCCACGGGTCGCTTGCCAGGCTTTGCTGTGTGGGCAAGATACTCTCGGTAGCTTGCCAGGCTCTCCGAAAGGAGTGGAGGAATCGAACTTGGGTTGGCCATGTTGGCTGCGTGCAAGGCAAACGCCCTACCACTGTGCTATTGCTCCAGTCCAGCCCCAAAAACATAAAGGAAAAAGAGTTGAGTCATTGGGCTGAGTGCATCCGTTCATGCTAGAGGCCCCAGTTTGATCTCCAGGAACACCTGTACCCCAAGAAGACCTGGAAGCAACCCCTAAGCACAGGACTAAAAGCAGCCCCTGACACCTACTGGTTGTAAATCCCTCTCAAAAGAATTACAAGAGGGTCGGAGCAAGAGTACAGTGAGGAGGGCATTTGCCTTTGCAAGCGGCTGGTCCCCCAGGCGCCACTGGAAGTAATTCTTGAGTGCAGAGCCAGGAGTAACCCTTGAGCATGGCTGGGTGTGACCCCCCACCCCCCCCAAAAAAAAGAAGAATTATAGGATAGAATAGAACAAAATATAAACTAGAATCTTAATGATACGTATCTGGATGTTGAATGTATACCTTCTCAACCCTTGGGTCTATTTGAAAGTTTTCATAAAGAAGTTCAAACAACTTACGTCATAGAATGAGGAAGATAGAAACTATCAAAATTCATCAGGTGATGATTGTGATTTTTAGGTTTTGCTTTAAATTTTGCTGCAACTAGGAATCATTTTGTTGAAAAAATTATTAGTGAAATGTTTTCGTGCCTTGGAAATGTCCTTGACTATCCATGTGGTTTTCATTGAGCAGCCACTCACCAGCCATATGTGACTCTCTGAGAGACCTCAAATATTTATTTCAGTGACCAAAAGGATGGTAACTAGGGTATTGCAGATGGGGCTAAACATAGCTGATGCTGGGAAGATCTTTGAGGGGAAAAAAGTCTATAACATTCCCTTGAGAAATGTATTGCTTTTTCTGACAGCTGAGGTCAAGCTTCTGTTACAGTTTCATGTTATTTATAGTAGCAAAAGAGATCATGTGGGGGGAATCAACAGCACGGTGGCTAGGGTGTTTGCCTTGCATGAGTCCGACATGGGTTCGATTCCCAGCATCCCATACAGTCCCCCCCAAGCACCACCAGGAGTATTCCTGAGTGCAGAGCCAGGAGTAACCTCTGTGCATCACTGGGTGTGACCCAAAAAGAAAGGCGAGAGAGAGAGAGAGAGAGAGAGAGAGAGAGAGAGAGAGAGAGAGAGAGAGAGAGAGAGAGAGATCATGTAATTTGAATGATGAGGGCGTAAATCTTTTTTTTTTTTTGAGGGCATAAATCTTGACTGGGTCCCCAGATGCCACAATTTGCCACTCGCTCATCCTCTAAGCAGCATGTAACCTGGAAAAATGTTTGGATCCAGTTGCTGGAAGGGCTTCACTGATCTCTCACGTTCTGCCTAGCTGGCTGAAGCCCTAACTAGGGAGATCTGGGGGCCTGATGGATGGGAAGGGAAGAGGGTGGCTATTTTTGTCTTCTGCTTTGGACTCTTAGAATTTTCTAGGACATTCTGGTGACATCAGTAAGTGAGGTGTTAACAAGTGAGTAGGAAGGATGAAGAGTTCAGGGATGCTTGGGCGTGACTGACACCTGCTCTCCTTACAGGGGGCTCTGCACGGCACACACAGTGGCTTTCCTCCTGCCATCGCTCCCGTCCTCACCAGCCTGCAGAACCTGGTCGGCACAAAGAGAACCTCAGATCCTGCCCCGCAAAATCCAGGTATCACTCGGACACACTTTCAGCCAAGCCATCTAATGCCTAGTTTTGTTTTGTTTTGTTTTGTTTTGTTTAATTTTAAAATCAATCCTTCCAGGGGCACAGATAGAACATATTGCATGTGAGTGACCCCAGTTTGATCCCAGCATCCCATGGACTCTGAGTACTACCAGGTGTGGTCTCCCAGAACCTAAGAATTTCCAAAAAATAGAAATAAAAAACCAGCCCTCGCTAGTGAAGGCACTGGTGTTGGAACATGATATGACTGAAATCCAATCATGAACAACTTTGTAACTGTGAATTTCACTGTGATTCAATTTAAAAAAATAAATATTAAAAAAAAGAAAGAAAAATTGGCCCTTACATGGCAGGGAAATGACTCAAATGATACACACATGCTTTGCAGGGGTGGGGCCCTGAGTTTGAGCCTCAGCATAGGGATACCCCTATGGGTCCACCAGTAGCATTCTGCCAGGTCTAAACCAACCATCACCAAGAGTGGTCTCCAGTAAAAATATAATAATACTGTTTCAGATTCTAGAGACCATTCTGGGGTGGAGGCACTTGCCTTCATATGGGCATACCCAGTTCAGTTCCAGAGCCCACCAAGAGTGATCCCTGAGCACAGAGCCAGAAGTAAGCCCTGAGCTCTGCCCTAGCCCAAAACAACAATGACAAGCTTTCCAACTTCAATAGATCCCTGAACATGGTCACAGAAGCTCCAAGCTTTCAGAAAGGAGGCAGGACTGATAGTGCAGTGGGTAGGGCACGAGCCTTGCACACAGTTGACCTGAGTCAATTCAGAAGCCCTAGACATCCCCCAAGCTCTGCCAGGAGTGACTCCTGAGCACAGAGCCAGGAGTAAACACTAAGTACTACCTAGTGTGCCCTCCCCTTGCAAAAAAAATCTTTCTGGAAAATCTGTTGTGAATAAAAAAGACTACTAAGGTTTATATTTGGTTTGATTTCTGGTTCTGGCCTCCAGTTCTGCTCAAGAACTGGGAGGCCAGAACCAAATTTTCCCACAAAATTGGCATAGATTTTATGACCCCCTCTTTTTTTTTTAATTGAAAAAAGGTGGCACGTGACCATTATGTTAAGTTTAAGTGTTTTTTTTTAATTGTGCCAGCACTACTTAAAAGCAGGGTGCAATGACTGTGCAGTCATGAGGGTACTGTGGGGACACATGCTGGTGCTCAGGCACAGGGTCCAGGCCTGCACCCCAACAGCGTGGGGTGGCCAGGAGGTGCTAGAAATCAAACTAGGGGTCCCAGGTGTGTGCCCCTGCCCAATTGACAATTTCCCTTGCCTGAAAGTCATTTTTGGAATGTGTCTTTAACTTGATACAAATCACATGAAAAAAGAAGCAGGCAGGCAGGCAGGCAGGCAGGCAGGCAGGCAGGCAGGCAGGAAGGAAGGAAGGAAGGAAGGAAGGAAGGAAGGAAGGAGAAAGGGAGGGAGGGAGAGAGAGAGAGAGAAAGAAAGAAAGAAAGAAAGAAAGAAAGAAAGAAAGAAAGAAAGAAAGAAAGAAGCGATATCTAATGTGGCTCATAATGTCAATCCACTCACTAAGAGGAAGTTGAAAAATCCCAGGTCACCATCAATGGGCAGAAGGGCGGGGATCCTTGGGCCTGAGGGTGGAGGCAGATTGTGGCAGATCGTGGCAGAAAAATGGATAGTGAGACACGCATTCTTCAATCCCTTTCAACCCCCTGTTCTAGGTGCTTCTGCCATAGTCCATCAGCTGTTTTTAGACCCCATCCATGTTCAGAGCTCAGGAATCACCAAGTGAGGATTCTTTGTGGGGGGAGGAAGCGGGGAGGCACCATCCGACAATGCTCAGGGATCACTCCTGCTGGTGCTCTGGGAACCATATTGGGTGCCAGAAATCAAACCCGGGTCCATGGAGTGCAAGGCAAGCCCCCTACCCACTGTGTTATGACTGCAGTCCCATGAAAGAGGATTCTTTAGAACAGTGGACAGAGGCCCTGTTCAGGCCATTGGTGGACATTCTAGAAAGGCCATAGCACCTGCTTCCTTTAGTATTCTCTTTTGAAAAGTCCAAGGGAAGAACACCATTTTCATGGGCATTAAAGTTAGCCATTTAGCGTCTCTTCATTGAAGGAAGCTAACTGTGTTGCCCTTTCATTTCTAGCCACTGATACGGGACCAAGAACTGTTGAGATCGTCAGGGTAAGACCATTATTTTGTCTTTTATTTCCTAATTTGTGTTGGAATAGCATAAAATATACATGTTCCACCTAATTTGGTTTCTTGGATTATTAATGCATTCAAGGAGGGGAGTAAATAAAACTAAAACTGAGAAAAATACAGTGACGCTCATAGATGACCACCACAAATTTTTTTGGACATACCCCATTCACTATATATTGTGTAGGTGTTTAAATTTTCTTAAACAAACAAAGAAAAAGAGGTATCATGGGGCTGGAGAGATAGTCTAGTGGGTAAGACGCTTGCTTTGTATAGTGTCAACCCAGGTTCAATTCCCAGCATCCCATATGGCTGCCTGTGTACATCCAGGAGTAATTCACGAGCAGAGTCAGGAGTCACCCCTGAGCATCTTCGGTGTGGCTCAGAAACAAAAATTGACACCCCCAAACTGGTATCATTCCTTGTATTTTGCTTGTTTACTTTAGATTTGGATTTTTTTTTTCCCCTGTGGAAATGGGGCTTAAATCCAGAACTTCACGTGTAAGGCATGCACTCTACCACAGAGCTATATCCCTTCTTGCTGCACAGAATTGTATCATATAAAGATCATCTAAGGGATATGTACTGTATGTATGCACTGTAATTTTCTTAGCCAGCTTCCTCATTAGCGTATTTCTCAATTTCTGCCTGGTGTTTGTTTGTTTATTTGTTTTTTCTTGTCATGCCTGGTGTTCTTTTTTTTTTCTTGTTAAACCCAAGGGCCTCACTTTTGCTATCTTTGGTAACCAAATACCTTTCTAACTATCCCCACACCATTGTGGTTTATTTCCTCAGGAATTCCTCCTAGAAATGAAATTGTTATGGCAAAAGGCAGACCTCCTGGCCAAGAATTCACTGCCCTTCTGAAAAGATTATCTAAGATGCATTTCAGTTCCTACACTCATCAGATGTTCACTGTCAATCTCCAGTCCCCAGAATAAGGAAAGCTGAATTCTCCTTTAGCCAGACTAATAAAGATTACTTGCTGTAATTAAATATGCCAAATGCCATGAGGTGCCTCTTAGCTAGTTCATTTTCTGAACTCATTCTCAGCTACAAAGGAGACCTCCACCATCTGTGATCTCTATGGCCTTTGGCAAATTCCTTCACTTGATTTTTTTCTTATCTACAGTATGGGCTAATCACACATTTGACCTAGCAGGTAAATATTACTGTTCAGATCAAATAAAGTCACTTTGAGCATTGTAGGAAGGCATGGTTCCTAGTTCCATCCATGAATATCCGAGGAGAAGCTTACTGGGTGGGTGGCCTCTGGTTGGATGAAATCTCCCTTCTTTGTTTTTCAAAGTGCCTTTCCATCACAGCTCAGAGGCTCCTAGGATGGGGAAATGAGATGTGCCCACACGGGTCAAGGAGGAAGCTTCTTGGTGGGTTTGAATAAAGCTGTGGTATTCAACACATTTCTCCTCATTCTAAGATTTTTAAACTAATATCACATTGTGTTGCTTTCTCTTTTCTTTCCTTCTCTTTCTTTTTGTTTGTTTTGTGGCCACACTCAGTGGGTGGTGCTCAGAGGTTACTTCTGGCTCTGCACTCATCACTCCTGGCAGTACTCAGGGGACCATATGGAATATCAAGAATCAAGTGTGGGTTGGCTGCGTGCAAGGCCAATGCCAGGCCCACTGTACTATCACTCTGGCTCCATGTTGTTCCTTTAGTCCTGTCTGCCCCTTGGTTTTATGGGCTTTTTCGACCAATCCTAATCCTCCCCACCCTCTTCTCTCTCTTGGGCCAGGCAGGAACTTCCTTCGGAAGCCTACCTTGCTTCTTATGCTCAGGGTTCTGCTCCTGATGCATTTGGAAAACAGATACGAGACCCAAATACTTTGGAGATCAGCAAATAACTGACCTGTGGTCAGAGAGGCTGACATTGCAATGACAAATCTGTGATAGGCATGGCAGGGTCATGCTAGTAATGATATTGGTCATGGAAACTCACTTCTCATAACTGTGACATGAGGTTTACGTTCTTTTACAGTAAGGTCTTTGGTTGTCATTTTCTCCCTTTTCTCTTCCTCCACTTGACTGTGGTACCATTCAAAGCTGCATGTTTCTTTAGGGGGTGGAGGTTGCACCCAGCGGTGCTCAGGGAATCATATGTGTTGTCAGGAATCAAACCAGGCCTCAACCACAGGCAAAGAAAGCACCTAAATCCCTGTGCTCTGACTCTGGCCCAGTTAATAGTATTTTTCATTGTAGAGCCTTGAGAGAGAGTGCAGAGGTAAGATTTGCAGCTGACTCAGCTTTTATCTCGGCCCCACAGCTGGTCTCCCACATACCACAGGAGGGACTCCTGAGCACAGCCAAGTGTGGCCCAAACCACCTCTACCACCACTCCTGCTAAATTATTTTTAAATTATGCTTTTCATAAAACCCCACATTCCTTCTCACTACCCACCGTGGGGCCGTGACCCACAGTTTGAGAAATTAGGAGTTAGGAGCAGGGAGCCAGCTCAGGGCTGAATCTAGGCTTTGCATTCAGGAGGCGTGGGTTCCATTCCTAGCACCATGTCACCCTCTGAGCACTAATCCAGGAGTCATCCCAGCACCACCAGTATGGCCCAAAAACCAAACAAATAGGAGGCTTTCTGTTTAATAATGAGAGAACCTGGGAGTTGGAGTTGTGTGTCTGTGTGCACTGCCTTCTGCCTTTATTCCCGGCCCTGAAGGGCCCCTTCTCCTGGTTCCTCTGGCCAGAACGCTGCTGCTTCTCCCCTAACTCCCAGTTTATTTCCTCTCTCATTTCTGGACTGGAGCTGATGTCCTCGTCAGAACTCTGGGGTCAGGGAGAGAAATGGGGACAGTCACCTCTCGTCATCCTGTCTCCCGCTGTCAACTCCATGACACTTTTTAGGCTCCTTCTCCGAGACCCCGGGTAGCTCTTTTTGGTATGTTGGCAGAGTTCAATTGGGGGAGAAGAAGTCGGATTTCTTGGTGTGTTGGTGTGTATGACTCAGGGGACAAAGGCACCATCCCAACTTGTCCCAAGGGTCACAATAAAGGTGGATTCTTTTCTTTTTTTTAAAAAAGTTATGTATTTATTTTCTTTTGGCTTACAATACTATTATTAATGGTTTCTCATGGACAACACTGTCAAACACTGTCCTCCCGTTGTTCATCGATTTGCTCGAGCGGGCCCAGTAACGTCTCCATTGTGAGACTTGTTGTTACTGTGTTTGGCATATCAAATACGTCATGGGTAGCTTGCCAGGCTTTGCTGTGCAGGCGAGATACTCTCAGTAGCTTGCCGGGCTCTCCAAGAGGGGCGGAGGAATTGAACCTGCCTCAACTGGGCTGGCTGCGCACAAGGCAAATGTCCTACCCCTGTGCTATCGCTCCAGCCCTCTTCTCATAATTTCCATACCACACACATCACCACGGTGTCTGTTTCCCTCCTTCCCCCGTGTGCTACTTCCCTGTTATGTTGCCTTTGGGTCTTTGTTGCTTCCTCCCTAGGTATCTTTAAGGCCCGCATATGGGAGCGGTCATTCTGCATCTGTCCATTTCCTTCAGTCTAATTTCACCCCCCAAGCTATCCTCTAGTTCTGTGTCATTGAAAATGGCAGGATTTGGTTGGTGGGAATATCTTCTAGTTCAACCTGCCTGGAAAACAATATGGAGATTCCTTTAAAAAAAAAAAAATATATATATATATATTAAATAAATAAATAATATAGGACTAGACCTCTCATCTGATCTCGCAACGCCACTTCTTGGCATCTATCTCCAAAACACAAAAGCATTAATTCAATAGTGGTGGGGCCAAGTGATAGTAAAGCAGTTGGGACGTTTGCCTTGCACATGGCCGACTTAAGTTCAATCCTGGCATCACATATGGTCCCCCAAGCACCGCCAGGAGTAATTCCTGAGTGCAGAGCCAGGAGTAACCCCTGAGCAACGCCGGACATGACCCCAAAAAAGCAAAAAAAATAAAAATAAAAATAAAATAATTCAATAGTCATGAGATTTGACCCTCAGCCACCTGAGGGGAACCGCCTCCCAGACCACCATGTCTTGAACTTCACCCGCATTAATACACTGTCACCAGCATTCACCACTGGTGACTTGGATGTGGCTTAATTAACACAAATCTCAGCACAAGTGCCAAAGTGTTGAACTGGAGAAAGTCCCACTTCCCAGAGATGGGGAGTTTCTGTAGCCTAGGAGCTGGGACTTACTCTGAGCCTGGCGCAGCAGGGCCCGAGGGCATGGCAATGGGGGTGTGTTTAATCTCCCAGGGTGGCCAAGGGAGAGCTCCAGACGGCTCGCCCTCTCGCCGCCCACGTTTGGTGGGTCTGGGGCACTCCCCCAGCTGGGGCGGCCCATGCCATGGGGCAGACAAAGAGGATACGAGGGCCAAGCCGGTTGATTGATCAAATGTTGTTTATTCCATCCTCCCCATGCAACTTTTCCAGTCTCACCAAGCCCCCATTCTAGTCCCACACTGCCCCTCATTCCCCTCTCCTCCTGTCTCTCCCGCTCATCTCTCCTTGCTCCATCTCGCATCCTGGGCTCCCCACGTGGCTGCTCCTGAATTCTTCTTCTACATTCTTGTCTCTCTGTCCCCTTGCTAGTCTCTCTGCACTCTATCTTGCTGCCCTGCCTCTCTCTCTCTCATCTCTCCAGCTCTCTTGTCTCTCCAACTCCAGTACACAGGGCCCAGGCCACACCCAGTCTGGTAGCAAAATCAATATAAGAAAGCCCTTCCTTTGCTTAAGGGCAAAATACCTCTTAAGGTGTTTTTCTCCTTACCTCAGTCCAGTAACTCAATTAACATCTTAATTACATTTTAGTATTAGTTATTTTTGTATGGACACAGTAAGAGATACATTGAGGCTTGTAGGGCAGCTCTCTTGGGAACATCTTGCTACAGACTCAGACTGCAGAGCTCAGGCCAGATTAATCATTCCCAACCCTAGCAAGGTTCAAATCTAGTTGTTACTTTTTGGATCATGACAGCATCTGTCCACGACCAAATCTTAATTTATAGTTAAACATTAGGCACGTTGGTCAGGCCCATCTCGATGCCAAGGTGGCACGTAGCTCACTGCTTGCCCTGGGTGCATCCAATTCCTCGTTGGGACCCTGCTTTGGGGGGTGCTAGAAAGTAAGGGCAGCTGAGGCTTAGGTCGAGAGTTAGATTTCTAAGTTTAGTCAGACTTAGAGTTCTAAGAAAAATCATTAGAGTCAATTGACTCCCGCATTACAAAAGCATAGCATTTACTGTCTTCCTGTGCCCATAGAAAAAAGGACATTGCTCTGAATAAACTACATAAAGGACTTACGGAGAAGAGGAAAACAATATTTACAAGTCAACAGAGCACAAAGAAAGAAGTTACAAATAAACACAGAGGAATGGGAGCACTGTGATGGGAGTAACTCAATAAATTTAAGCCCCCTGCGGCAAGGCAGGAAGGACAGACCAATGTTATCCTACAGGGGTACTCCTGTTCTCCCAAGGTCCCTGCATTCCTAGCTGGAGTCTGGGCCCGGCAAAGGACCACCCCTTCTGGTTGCAGATGACTTCGAAGGGTAGCTGTTGTCCCCACAGGTGAAAGCCACTGAATCCCAACTCCTCATCGTATCTATGTTGGTGAGAGTCCAGTGGCCTCCGAGAAGGAGAAGGACGTGCCTTTTTTCTGGACAACCTGTGGCCGCCAAGTGGGGGAGGTTCCTGTGTGCACACCTGCCCAGCTGGCTGTAAGCATGGGCGCTTGTGGGGAAAGGGGTTTCTGAGTGACTGTCAGCATCATCACTCTGTCCCCAAAGTGGGACCCCCCTCCCAAGACTAAAGTCAGACACCCTCACCAGGGCGCCGGTGCCAAGAGTGTCCTCACTTGTAACCCCAAGAACCCAGGAGCCTTCTCCATCCCCTGGGGCATCTCTGCACACTCACAGTCTGCCTCTGGCTAAGACCCTTTGTTCCCACATTGTGTATTTGAGCTGAGCATGTGTACAGACCTGCAACAGAGCGAGGTGTGTGGTTGTTCTGTCCCAAAGCCTGCTGGGGGGCCGGAGCAATAGCACAGTGGGCAGGGTACCTGCCTCGCATGCGACCGACCCAGGTTTCATCCCGGCATCATATTGTCCCCTGAGCTCTGCCAGGAACGCAGGGCCAGGAATAACCCTGCTGGGTGTGGCCAAAAAACTATCACAATCACAATCACAACCATCCTGTTATTCGTCGATTGCCTCGAGCAGGCCCCAGTAACGTCTCCTTCATCCTAGCCCTGAGATTTTTTTTTAAAAAGTGCCATATTCAAGGCTCTTTCAGAGTTACGAGAATGAGACCCTTCATTGTTACTGGTATTTGGCATATTGGGCCAAAAAACTAATGAGTAAATAAATAAGCATTTGCCACTTCTGCCTCAGAGCAAGCCTCTAGACAGAGCAGAGCAGGGTCTTGGTGCCCTGTTACATTATTTAGCAGGGCGAGGGCTGGGCACCACTCCCTATGGCGGGCAGGGGCTCTTCCTGGCTCTGTGCTCAGGGGTCACTCCAGGTGGTGCTTGGGGTAATCTAATGCATGCTGGGGTGTTGGGCCCAAATTTCAGATCCCCAGTTGCGGGGAGACCAAGTCCATACGCGATTAATGCAAAAGCAAAGAAACTTTATTGTTAGCTCAAGCCAGGGTCCAATTCTCATCCAATATATTGGAGTCTTGATAAGGACATTTCATTTCATTTCATCATCCTGTTATTCGTCGATTGCCTCGAGCAGGCCCCAGTAATGTCTCTTTCATCCTAACCCTGAGATTATATTCAAGGCTCTTTAGGAGAATGAGACCCATCATTGTTACTGGTATTTGGCATATTTGGTACGCCACGGGGAGTTTGCCAGACTCTGCCCTGTGGGCAGGCTACATTCGATAGCCTGCAAGTTTGTCCAAAGTAGGAATGAGATAATAAGATGTCATAAAAGATGTCCTGATAAGATGTCGCGTGGCCGCAAATGCGGCCGCGCGATTCCAGGAGCTGAATTTTATAGTCTCTGAGTCTTGGCCATTGATGGAATTACACGGCGCCAGGGGGCCAGGTGGTGGGTGTGACCCCCACCTACTGGAATTTGGAGGATCTGGGTGGAGGATGCTCAATTCCAATCCGAGTAGGCTGGGAGATCTCGGCCTCGGAACCTGCGTGGATTTGTCCCTCTGCCAGTACCTTCAAGTGTGCGGAGAGTGGTCTCAGCATGGTGGTGGCTGGTTTTGGAGGTCTTCTCCTTGATAAGGACCCTGACTCTAAATCAACAAAGCGGTTTATATAGGTTTCAAAGTTTCAAAATTAAGCAAGCACTATGGTAACAGTGATACCATAACAGGCAACAGTTAAACAATAGTTTCCAATAACAGAACCAGTTTTATGATTACATAGGCCACCCATTCCTTATGGTTAACGAAAGATCATTTCTGGGGCATTATAACTGAGACACGGTGATTGCTTGAGCCCATTTACTGGGCCCAGGAACTTCACAGGTGGGTTCAGGTTGTCTAGTTAGACATTGTTTCAGTGCTGGAAAACTGAATCTGTTTCAGTTCCAGGTACTGACCCTGAGGCCCACCTGATTTTTTTTATTTCTGCCGCCTATCTTGGCTGCACTCTGGTCTGAGCCTCACAGGGGATCACTGCTGTCAGCTCTGTGCAGAGCAAGCGCCTGAACCCCTGGACGAACTGCCTCTCTCTCCAGCTCTTCTTATTATTTTGTCCCCACTCCCGTGGCTTTTTATGGCGCATCCTTCCAGGCCAGGGCTGCTCCATAATTTTCTCTTTGAATCTTCAGACTCATGCTGGGAGGTGAGAGACCAGTGTAAGGGAGATGCTAAGGGAGCAAAGGGATTTTTACACCAAACACTGCCACCCCCAGCCAGGGGGCACAGGCACACCGCAAAGGAGCTGAAAGCCAGGTCTTTCTGGCCCCACCCCCCTGGTACTTAACCCTCCGTGGTCCTGGCCTCCACACCCTCTCTGGAATGAGATTTTGTTCAACAGGTCCCAGGGGCCACTCAGTGAGGCGCAGTTGGGTCCATCCTCCTGCATGTTCTGTCTTCTCTTTTAGGAGCTCAGCGATGCCCTTGGAATCAGTATTGCTGGCGGCAAAGGAAGCCCCTTAGGAGATATTCCTATATTCATTGCCATGATACAGGCCAACGGTGTTGCCGCTCGGACACAGAAGCTGAAAGTAAGCAAGAGAGAGTGGCGGCAGCTGACTGCAGGAAGTGGGGGCACTAACGGTCTGGGCAGAGGAAGAAGCGGAAGCTGCTGGGGGCTTGTGGGGGAGCACCTGGTTCAAAGCTGGAATTCCAGCACCTGTCTGAGCCCCCACGCTGAGGGCAGAATGCAAGGGAGAAAGCCAGCAGCAGCTGAAATTCTGTGGGTCCCCACCCCTATAAGGACGTTATTGTTTTGTATCAAAGCTCCTCCATAAAAGAAGAAATTGCAGCTCATTTGCAAAGCCCCCCCACCCCCCCAGACCATTTTGTGTGCCTCATTCCACCCAAAATTGATTTTTGCCTGAAAGAGATTTGGCCACACAAACCTCCGTCAGCTGAAAGTATCAGCATCCTGACAGTGGTTTTTTTTTTTTCTTTCCTTTTTTCCTCACTGCCCCTGAATATCAACTTCCGTAGCAACATAAAGCGGATGATATTTGGCTTCCACAGCTCGGTTGGAACCGTTCATTTGTGCGTCCCACTATTAATTGGCACACGGATGCCGGCAGCACCATTTCCAAACGACAAAGGTGGCCTGCGGTGCCTTTTCATCCTCCGTTCTCACCCCCATCTTGTTTCTCTGATTTCCCTGTATGTGTGCAGAGAGCCATCAGAATTCCTCCAGCTTCTGGAACAAGCACACTCAGTGGAAACAGGGGATGTCTCACAATAGCCCCCAAGTGGGAATTGGACTCCCAGCAAATTTGAAGTATTCTCTGCAAATTTAATTTTTTCCCAATGATCGTGATTTTCTGCCACTTTTTGTCCCGCCAGGTTGGAGACCGGATTGTCAGCATTAACGGGCAACCTTTGGATGGGCTGACGCACACCGATGTGGTTAATGTGCTGAAGAACGCGTACGGGCGCATTAGCCTACAGGTACCGTGGGCTTCAGGCTGCAGCTGCACGGGGCGGATAGGTGACTGCAGCCAAGACTGAGTCTCAGGGGCAGGAGACAGCCCTGCTAGCAGGGTGCAGGTGATGGGAATTACGAGGGTGGAAAGCAGGAAGTTATTTTTCTTATTCAGGTATTCTTTACTGCCACCTGTACAGGCAAGGGAGCAAAATTATATAAAAGCAGAACAAGGGGACAAGGGGCAGGGGTAGGGAATGATGCTTTGCTGCCCAAGATCAATCCACAAGGCTTTTGGTTTCCAGTGTTCTTTTGTAAAGCAGAGTGCTTTGTTTTGTCTTTGGGGTGCTTTGTTTTGTCTTTCTTAGGCCCAAGAACTGTTGCAGAATCACCCAAAGTTGGGGTTTTCCTCTCCTTGGAAGAAAGGGGAAGATGTGGGTACTTCTTCTCTGAGTTGGCTGCCAAATTGGTTGCTGTAGGGGTTCATCAACAAAGGCAGAGGGCTCGAGCGGTAGCACAGCGAGTAGGGCATTTGCCTTGCAAGCGGCTGACCCGGGTTCGATTCCCAGTATCGAACTGGTCCCCTGAGCACTGCCAGGAGTAATTCCTAAGTGCATGCGCCAGGAGTAACCCCTGAGCATCCCCCAGTGTGACCCAAAAAGCAAAAAAAAAAAAAAAAAACCAAGGGTAAGTTATATAGTCACAGCGTGCCCAAAAAGATTGTCCAGAAGGACAATAAACTATATATGAAGAGAACACCAAGCATGCTGTGAATAAGCTGACATATCCCAGTATCCAGGATGTCGCTGACATCCAGTATCTTACAGTGAGTTGTTTTAGTGACTGAGTTTCCCTCCCTGTCAAAAAGAAGAAAAATTGTGTGTCAGGGAGCACACTTGGTGGTACTTAGTATTTACACCTGGCTTTGGGACCAGGGACCACTCCTGGGTGGCTTGGGGGACTCTATGGGGTGCTGGAAATTGAGACCATGTCATCCATGTGCAAAGCAAACACCCTCCCCACTGTGGTATCTCTCCAGCCCCAACCAAAATAATATACTTACGAGCACCCTTGTATCCAGAGGTGTACAGTATGGTTGCTAGGTAGAGAAATGGAACCTACCATTCAATCCTTTGGAGCAGGACTTCTTCCAGATTTTTCATTCTCAACCCCCTTTCTTTTTTTGTTTTGTGGCCATCCCAGTTGTGCCCAGAGCTTACTCCTGGCCTTGCGCTCAGGGATCACTCCTGGTGGGGCTTGGGGAACCATCCCAGGTGCCAGGATCAATCCCAGGTCAGCTGCATGCATACAAGCGCCCAACCTGCAGCTCAGCCATCACAACCCCTTTTTGCCTGAGAAATTTTTATGTGAACCCAGGTATATAGGTAAACAAAATATGTAGCACTGTAGCATTGTCCTCCCATTGTTCATCGATTTGTTCAAGCGGGCAACAGTAACATCTCCACTGTGAGACTTGTTACTGTTTTTTGGCACATCGAATACACGACTGGGAGCTTGCCAGGGTCTACCGTGCGGGCGGGATACTCTCAGAAGCTTGCCAGGCTCTCCGAGAGAGATGGAGGAATCTAACCCAGGCCAGCCACATGCAAGGCAAACACCCTACCCACTGTCCTATCTCTACAGCCCAAACAAAATAGGTATGCCAATTAATTGTTTACTGATAATAAAACCATTTTTGAAGCTTATTTTAAAGAGCATATTCTTAATTTTTTGTAAAATGTGGAATTCTACCCCAAAGTTTAAGAAGCTAAGTCATAGGCCAGAGAGATAGTCCAGGAGTTATAGCGTTTGTCCTGCATGTGGCAGACCCCATTTCAATCCGTGTATGATTACCCAAGCACTGCCAGGAGTTACCTGAGCATCATGCAAGGATTAGCCCTGACCCAAGACTCTCCCCACTCCATTCCCCCCAAAAAAGCCAGGCTTGGGGCTTGAACAGTAGCACAGCGGGTAGGGCGTTTGCCTTGCATGCAGCCGACCCGGGTTCGATTCCCAGCATCCCATATGGTCCCCTGAGCACCACCAGGAGGAATTCCTGAGTGCAGAGCTAGGAGTAACCCCTGTGCATTGCCGGGTGTGATCCAAAAAGAAAGAAAAAAAAAAGCCAGGCTTTGGGCTGGAGAGATACATTCATGGGCTAGAGTGCGTACTTTGCATGTCTGCATGCAGGAGACCTAGATTCGATCCCTGAAACTGTATGGTCCCCCAACCTCTGCTAAGAACAACCCCTAACACCAAGCTGGGAGTATCCCTTCTCCCCAGCATTGCCAGGTGTGGTCCAAAGACCAGGGAGCTTCAAGCAAGAGTGATAATACAGCAGGTAGGGTGTTTGTCTTGCACATGGCAGATCCTAATTCTATCCTTGTCATCCCATATGGTCCCCTGACCACCACCAGGAGAGATTCCTTATCGTGGAGCCAGGAGTAACTCCTGAGTATCACTGGGTGTGACCCAAAAACAAAAACAAAGACCAGGAAGCTAATTCTCAGCAATCAGGCTAGACTGGACTTTCCTTCTCACCATTCTAGTGTTAAAATAATGTTATTTTAAAAACCATCATGTTTGAGTGAACCCATTTAGTGCCTAAATTTCATATATTCTCGCTCTCTCTCCCTTTCTCTCTCTCTCTCCCTCTCATTCTCTCTCTCCCTCCCAACCTCTCTTGCTCTCTCACTCTCGTTTTCTCTCTCTCTCTCTCCCCCTCTCGCCCTTTCTCTCCCTCTCCTTTGGGCCAAACCTTCTGGTGCTGGGTATTATCCTTAGCTCTATGCTCAAGAACCACTCTTAGTGCTCTAGGGGACCACTCAGTGCCAGGAATCGAGCCTAGGCCTCCCACACACAGAACATCCACCCCAGCCCCTTGTTCTCTCCTCTCCAGTCCTAAATCTCATTTCTCCGTGGTCTCAGTCCAAAGGGGCAAAGCATTTAAGCATTTTAAATGATCTCAAAGGGGAACAGTGTTTAGTAGGGAAATAGGAAAGGACTGATTTGTGTGTCCGCCTGCAGACCTAGGTTCAGTCCCCGACACTGCACAGTCCCCCCATGCTAAGAACAACCCCTAACACCAAGCTGGGAGTCTCCCTCCTGCCCAGCGCAGCTTTCACAGTTTTAGGAGCAAGTATGAGCGGTGGTTTGGGCCCCCAAATTAGTGCAGATCAGACACCAAAGCACTCTGAGGACCAATTGCAGCCTGAGCCTCCCTGCTTTTTGTCCCCAGCTGCAGAGGAAACAGACTCTGTACCTCTCTCATATTTTTTTAAAAGGAGATATTAAAAGAGTAATAGAATTCATTGTGATCCTGGCATTTGGAATCTATGCAATTATGAGTGTGGAAACTATAGCACTGTCTTTTCGTACTTCATCCATTCGCTCACGCAGTCACCAGTAATGTCTCCATTGTGGGACTTGTTGTTACTGTTTTTGGCATATCGAATACGCCATAGGGAGCTTGCCAGGATCTGCCATGCAGATGGGATACTCTTGGTAGCTTTCCGGGCTCTCCAAGAAGGATGGAGGAATCGAACCCGGGTCTGCCGTGTGCAAGGCAAACGCCCTACCCGCTGTGCTATTGCTGATGAAACCTTTGGCCATAAGCCCCAGGAAACTCTTCTGTCCTGTCTCATGTCTTTCAGTCCATTTGTTTTTATGAAAGTATTAAAATATGTATGGAGTGGTCCCAGCAATACCGTGAGCATAGCTGTGTTGCTGCCGGATATTTACTACTGGGTAGGCCAGCCCTTTGGCAGGGGATAGAATCAGTCAGATTGTTGTACCTGATGAGGTAGACTTATTGTCTATGAATTCCACAAACAGTCCAGCAACTGTTGATGCACAGACAAGATGAAGGTCTGGGTCAGTATGCCTTAGGGGAGTAGAAAGGAACACCATTGCTTATTGAATTTCTTCCTGGAGTTTGTCTTGCTCTCTTGAGATATAAACAAATGGATAGATATTTCAGTCTTTAAATATCTTTTTTTTTTATTTTATTTTCGGACCACACTTGATTGTGTTCCAGGATCTGAGCTCAGGGATCACTCCTGGCAGGGCCAGGGATTGAATATGGCATGCAAGGCAAGTGCCCCACCTCTGCTGTACTAACTTTCTGGCCCACCCCTAACCTTTTTAAGATAATAGAGAGTAAATAGTGAGCCCTTGAGATTAATAATGAAAGAGGAAAAGAAGTCCTCATGAGGTTCATTCAGGAAATCCAACAGATAGGAGATAGGCATTGCAAATTCTCTCTCTCCCCTATCTCTGTCTCTGTCTTTCTCTGTATCTCTGTCTCCGTCTGTCTCTTTCCCTCTCTCTCTCTCTCTCTCTCACACACACACACACACACACACACACACACACACACACAACCACCACAGTGAAATTAATTTAGTTTCATCATAAGTAAGAGAATAAAACTTGAAAAATACCTACAAACATTGTAGAGGGCAAGTATGATCCAAAGACAAAAAATATTATCAGTAATTGATGTTTTATACGCGCGGCAGAGCCTGGCAAGCTCCCCATGGTGTATTTGATATGCCAAAAACAGTAACAATAATGGGTCTCATTCCCCTGGCCCTGAAAGAGCCTCCAATATGGCACCGTTGGGAAGGACAAGTAAGGAGAGGCTGCTAAAATCTCAGGGCTGGGATGAATGGAGACATTACTGGCGCCTGCTCGAGCAAATCGATGAACAACAGGATGATAGTGATACAGTGGTGTTTTATATATTTTACATATCTATATGCCCAGGTTCATATAAAAATCTCCCTAGCAAAAAGGGATTAATGCATTTACAGTGAGAGCACAGGGATTAATGCATTTACAGTGCAAGCAGCTGACTCCTGTTTGATCCCCTGAGCAACACTGGTGTGGTCCCAAAAACAAAAACATATCAACATATCTTATAATCACCCAAATGTCTACAGGTATATGCCCATATAGGATTCATTAGTACTAACATTAGAACCTCCCACTTAGTGCCCACCCAGATTCAATCCCTGGCACTGCA